CCCTTAAAAGTGTTGGAGCCTGCTTAGCTAGAGAGGGGAGTTTGGATGAAAGATAGAGAGGAAGATGTGAAGAGGCTGCGAAGAGACCTATTGGGATGGAGCCTACCTGCAGGCCTGAAGCTGGAATGGAAGGAAAGCTCAGAGCTCACTGGTCCCCTGAGAGAGGACCACCTGAATGGCAATAAAGGAGCGACCCAGCTGATAGACCTGGTAGCAGCCACCAACCCACAATGAGAGGATCTGAGTGAGTACACCTACACACACCTGAGTGGATAGGGGAAGAAACACTGGAAAACCAGATTAGCCACCTACCAGTGACTGTTCATCTTTTAAAGTGGCAGGAACTGGATCCCCTGTTTAGGCATACCTCCAGATTGCTGGGAGAAGTTCATCTAGGGCCTGTGGTGGTAGATTAGTAGATGCTAGCTCTCCAACAAAGACTGTGCTGCAGAGAAGGCTTGTAAATAGTTCCAGGAATTTTTCCTCAGTTTATCAGTTCCCTTGGGCATCCTGTACACCCCTAACTATATCCCAGTTCAAATCCCCTAAATAAAACAACAAAACCAAAGCTCAAGGACTGATTTCTGACTCTGAATGCAAGCTTTTGTGAAGATGTGTGATGCCTTGCTGCACAGGACTATACAGGGACCCAAATCTTCTAGCGACTCCTAAGGGAGTAGTGCTACATAATTTACTAGTTGAACGATGCAAGCAATCAAAGATACCTAGACAACTAGTATTTTCACAAGTAGGTCACAAATATCTCAATATTTCTGTAATGATATGTTTACTTCATTATTTCAAATATTAAATGATAATAAAATATAGTGATTAGTGAATGGTTAGCATGCTTGTCCTTAAGAACTAAAACTCTAGGACAATTTCCATTTAGGAACATTATGTGCATGAAGGTTGGTTTTCCTGTCCCACCACCTTGAACATACTAATAGGTTGCTTGGCATCTTACCAGACTTATTTCACAGTTCTATTCCCTATAGGACAAAGTACATGTAGTACTTTGTCCCATGTTTTGAAGAACTTTCTAACCCTAGATATGAGTATTCACCTGTCCTCTATGTTTAGTTTGGTAATTACAGATATGGTGGCTTTCCTCTCCCAATGCAATGCTAGGTGACTGTGCAGCCTAACTCCAGGCATCAGTGATGTTATGTGATGATGGGGAGAGGGTCCTTAACTCTGCAACCAAATCAACTCAGATTTTACAAGGCTTTTTCATCTCACTGTGGAATACAAATGGGGTGGCAGGGTATGGTTAATATAAGCAAAGGAACATTGTTTAGGAAAAGCAGGGGATGACTTTAACCACCTCAGTACTTGTATGTTTCATTCTCTTCATTACCAGGACAGTTTTCTTTTTTCATGACACTTTGACTGACAATAATTGGCCTTGAAACACTGTACCCACATGACTTTTATATACTTTTTATGAGACAGATAGAGCTTTCTTTGGTGGTATTTAAGGTCTTGCTGACCACATAATACATATGTGCGGTGGCAAGGAGGTGGGCATTAATGCCCACATGCCTCATATAGAGTTTTCTGTGCTGAGAGCATGCTTGCTGTACTTTCCCAACACAGTGACCGAGCTGTCACAAACAGCTCCTGGTTTCTAGCTATGATTGGAAGACAGGCTCCCTATCATGTGACCACTGTGACAACCAATCACAGTGCCCGTATGATCACAAGGTTTCCTGTGTATACCCCTGTATGTCTGATTTTGCAGTTTTTACGGGGTGCAGTTGAGGCTCGGTATAAATTTGGCTCAACCTCCTGTTTTTTTACTACCACCCAAACACCTTCTCCCAACTGCAAATGTAAACTAGGCCCTACAGCTCAGTCGATTTCCTTAGGAATGAGTAGTAGCAGCAGAGGTGGTTTGCCAGATAGGATATCAGATATCACTAGTGTGTTATAGAGAGGTAGGATCTCAGTAGAAGGGGGGGGTTGTTTTCCCTGAAAGAGGATGAGGGTGGTGATTTACCTGATCTACAAAATGACATCAGTCAGTTCCGAGGTCTCCTCTCCATCAGCTGATCCCACATGTCTCTATTACAACCAGCACCAGACTCCACCCACTCCCGACACATGCAGTCCCACCCAACCACTTCACCCAGCCCAAGAACTTCAGATATACACATCTGCAGTCCTGCTCAGTCATTTCTGTTACCACTAGACTCTGCCTGCCCCCAAAAAGTCAACATATATGGGGAAGTGCCCCAGTCAACCAAAATATGCAGGTAGTGCCTGTGTTAGTGTACCCCTGCCTGGTATACCCCATGGGCACACCTACGGGTTTCACCCCTCTGGCAGGTGTCACTGGGTTGCGGTCCGCACTCCCCACACCCTCATAGTGATGCCACTGCACAGTGTGTCCTGAAAGCACCACTGTTGGCCATTTTCTCCTCGTTCTGGTCTTTCGTAGCACTGGGTTGAGACTGTTAAAATCAAGTGCAGTGTCTAAATTCACAGCCAAGTATCTGGACACCCACTAGGCCCTAGACTCATGCTTAGATTGCCTTATCGGTGTTGCCGCTCTGACAAAAATATATTTTAAAAATCAAGGAAAAAGAGCAATGAACATGGACATTGTTCTTGAATTAGTGTTTTTCAATCTTTTTTTTATTCATTTACGACACCCTTTGATAATATGCACAATCTTAAGGCACCCCAGTCTAAAATTGGGGTCCCCATAATTCAGAAGCTCCCACTTCATTTTAGAGTTCTCCACCCCCTCCCTTCTACATAAGATTCCTCACCTCCCTTTCACATCGGAGTCTTCAGTACCCCACCACCACCACCACCACATAAGAGTTCTCACCTTCCTACCTTTTCACATCAGAGTCTTCAGTCCCACTTCAGGGAGGTGGGACAGAATACTGAGGCTGCCCTGAATGCCCATCACCCTGGATTCATGTCATGCATTTCCATGTGTTGACGACTGGCCCACCTGCACTCTGGAAATGCTTGAAGCAGAGCTTCAATATCAGCTGCAGTACGGCACCCTTGACCAGTCAAGCCAGCACACCAGGGTGCCTTGGCCTAGTTTTAAAAATGCTGCATTAAACCAGTATAACCAACCAGACCTCATCATTTTGGCCCAGACAAATTTTGTGCAAGTCTATTGAATCCTACTTTTTTTTTTTCTTTTTTAATCATTAGTAAACTGAGCTTGGTGTCATGCTCAATATACACTAATCATAGAGTTAGCTTGCCTCATCAAACCTCTTCTTTTTTTTTTTGCTCCATCTGCAGCCCGCTAGAGCTACAGCCTTGAAATGGATGTCAAGAAAGTGCTGCATGGTCATTTATATGTAAATTTATGGAGAGTACAGTCTTACATTGTAAATAACAAATTGATATGCAAAAGAATACACAAGATTGTGACAGGTACACCTGTAATTAGCAACCAGGCTCCTGTAGGCACAGCTAGAATTGTGATGTAATTTGTAGCTCCATCTGTTTAATCTCCTGTTATAAGTTGTTAATTATGGTGAAAAGGTTAAGGAATTAGTGTAAGTGTATTGCCAACATTCTTTTTGTTTTATGTTGTTATTAGTATTGCTATGTGTTGATGTCTTGAGTAGACCGCCATGCACATTGTAGACCGGGCATGTTTAGCAAACCAGCCAAAGGAGAAAAAGAAAAAAAGAGAGAGAATTACATATTCATCGATGCTGTAGAGTGAGCACAGTCAGGATCATAGCAAGTTAATGACTCTTGCAGAAGAGAAATACGGAACCCAGATGCACATTTAACAGCAGAGGGCTTTCTCTGTCAGCGAGTACTGTACTATTTCCATGCCACCTGTGGGGATAAAACAACATGTTCTGAATGTGCAAACAGACGAAGGGTTAGACGTAAAGACACGTATATATTTATATATGACACACAGATCGCTAGATAGACATCCAGCCTGGGTACGGGAGCTCCAATACCGCATTATGTAGGGTGATATCACTCTGAGATGATGTCACTGGCCCGTCTTCCTTTCCCGCCGCCGTTCACGTGCGTGGGACACCTCTGGTGCGCAGGGACAGTTAAAACTCTGTCTTGCTGGATAATGATTTATCCAGGCAACAATAGCATTTGGCAAATAATTAAGATAAATGAATGTTTGTTTAGCTCATGCATCTGTGCCAGACTGCAATGAGAGCAATTAATTTGATGCAGTGTTATTTATAAATACTAAAGCTAGTCCTGTGATTGGATGGAGCATTTTATTGCAAATACAAAGTTAATATCCCTGCATTTGAGTGTGTTATTTATTTAATCATACTTAATTAATGTATCATTTGAGAAACACTGGTAATAAAATGCGGAGAGCCTGAGAACAAAGTTAAAGTGGCACTGCGCTAAATCCTTTTTCTGCAAAAAAAAAAATCATCTATTCGCATCCATTGCTTAATGGCCATGTCATCTATTTTTCAGTAAAGCATTTCTTAGCTTTTCTGCCTCCTTGTAACATCCTTCATGAGCTCCCAGTCCTCTCCTTTTCTCCCTTAGTCCCATTTGGTATGGGCAGCACAGTGGCTAAGTTGTTAGCACTTCTGCCTGGCAGTACTGGGGTCGTGGGTTCGAATCCCAACCACGGCACCACCTGTCTGGAGTTTGCATGTTGTGCCTGTGTTGGTTTCCTCCGGGTACTCTGGTTCCCTTCCACATTCAAAGACATGCTGGTAGGTTAATTGAATCCTGTCTAAATTGGCCCTAGTATGTGTATGTATGAATGGGAGTTAGGGACCTTAGATTGTACACCCCTTGAGGGTTAGAGACTGATGGGAATGTACAATATATATGGAAAGCGCTGCGTAAATTATAAGTACCTGAAATAAATACATTTGGAGCAGAAAGTGTGCATTAGTTGCGGCCATGTACACTACTCCATACACACTACTAATTCCAAAGTCCCCAGTCCATATACGGAGTGAGTAAGAGGGGGTGGCTACAAACCCACATACAAGATCATGGAGAAGGAATGTTGCCACCCTCTAACAGTAAGCTGGGTACAGGGGCAGACTCACCATTTGGAAACTTGGGCACTGCCCGAGGGCCCGGGGTCAGTAGGGGGCCCCATGAGATGCCCCTGGTACCTTTTTCATAGGCTTTTTTTACTTTGGGCAAGGACACAGGGGCCCCATGATCCCCTGTTGCCCGGGTCCCCATGAGTTGTCAGTCCGCCCCTGGGTGGGTAACAGCATAAAAGAAAGGAATTTGGAGGAGACTGTGCAAAATAGATGGTACTTTTTTGAAGTGAAGTGGTTGTAAAGGGTGAAAAAACGTTCAGTTCGCAACTCCCCCCACAGCCCTACCAACACTTACAGCGGTTCTCCTGGGTCTCTCTCTCTTCATTGGCTCAGACACAGCAGTGAGCATGATTGCCATCGCTTCTGTCAATTACGGCCATGCTTTGTGTGTCCTATAGACACAGTGTCAGGGCTCCGGGTATGACCAGAGGTGTGTGGACTGACACAGGGAAATGCAGGCTTCAGATATGGTATAAACAATATGATTTATTAAGACTAACAATACAAAACGCAGTGCAAAACTAAACATAAACACAGTGCAAACAAACCAAACCAAACCACCTACAGATAACAATACATACAATCGTCAGGCAGGCCGGGTCAGTAGCAAACGGGCAAACGGAGTACCAGGAACAGGCGGGAGAGTGGTCGGGGTCACAAGCTGGGTTCAGTAACTCACGGGCAGCGCAGTACAGAGGGTCAGGCAGAGAATGGTCAGGGTCACAAGCCAGGGATCAAACAGGAGAAGTCAGCAGAGGTCAGGATCAGGCAGGGTCAGCAACAAGTCAGGCAGAAACAGGAACAGGAACACAGGATACAAGACGGGGCCCATGGAAAAACACCCACCAAGGCCCTGACTGTGAGTCTGGCCATTCCTTAAATATAACCCCTGCAATCAGCTTCAGGTGTTTGGCTGACTGCAGGGGTGAGTCTCTGATTGCTGAGAACACCCGCTGGCCAGCCCTGGTACTGCAGCCCACAAGGCAGGTGAGTTACAACATTATTGGCAAGTCCATTCCTGACACACAGAGAGTCAGCTCCGGAACCAGCATGCATGAGTGCCCCTAGAGCAAGCAGCTTGCTCTGGGGGCACTCGGCAAGGGGGAGGAGCCAGAAGCACTGGCAGGGGACCCGAAGGAGGAGGATCGGGCTGCTCTGTGCAAAACCATTGCACAGAACAGGTAAGTATAATGTGTTTATTATTTAAAAGAAAAAAAAATCAAATGTTTAGAAGCACTTTAGGAATACATACTTGGATAGAATGTCTTTTTTTTAAACCAGGGGTTGGTGTCACTTTAAGCTATCGAGAATGTAAAGTAAGCATTTCTAAGCATATTGAACCTTTAGATCCACTTTAATGTCCACGTTACCCCCTCTCCTTGGCACGTAACACAATGTCCAAACATGCTAATTTGTTATTCTGTGCTTCCTGTGTCAGTTTGCCGTTTCTGTCCACTGAGTATATGTGTTCATTTAAAGCTTGTATTTCCACTGTTCCCTATATAGAAGACCAGGACCCTACCGAGGGAGAAAGTAGACTTTCCTGCTTCAAGGAAAATTTCCTTTCTAGCAATACAGATGACTGTATTATAATAATATCTTCTTAAATTTATAATTCTTAAAGATTTTTTCTAAGAAGATAAGCATCTTAATTATGAAAAGTGTGATGGTTTATGCCAGAAGGAAACACACCTTTATGTGAACCTTCTTTCTTTATATGTTCACAAACTCCACTATAAAGAGTCCGTGGATTCCCCAGCCTGACATCAAAGTTGGAGAAAAGAAATACTAGCCTAAAGAAAGATACGGGCAATATTAAAAGAAAAGGCAAGCTTTAAAGTAATGGAAAGTCACTTAATTAGATTAGTCGTACATTTCGTTTTGATAGTCTATTAAAAAGAATACTTCAAACATCCATAGATTCTCCCCTTAGTGACAAAATTCACCTTTAATAACTATTTTTAGATCAATAGGTAAGCCTCTTTTCTAAGATTTTTTTCAGTGCTGCTGCCAGAGCAAAATAAACTTTATTGAAACTGAATTGTAATTATCTTTTAAAAAAAACATGGCTTAAGACGAATGTAATAGGATCAAGAAGAATTCTTTATATTGATAGTTGGCTTATTTACATATTTGTTTGGCTTTCTTCTGGATCAGTAGAATTAACAAAGGGCCAACTGGATGAACTTTGGTCTTTAGTAATAATTCATTATATTTCCTACTCCAGAAGCTCTGAGTATGTTAGGAAAATTCAAATCTTCCTTCGTGCACAAGGGCAGTGGTGTATTTAGGTTTTGTGCTGCCGTAGGCAACACAAAAATTGGTGGCCACACCCCTCCCCCACGGAGACAGTTTGACACTGACCAACACCACCCCCCCTTGCCCATGGAGAGAGACTGACATTGACCAACAACACTTCTGTCCCCCCCGCCCAAGAGAGCCTTCCACTACCATTGCTCCCCCATAACCAGACGCCCAACATCCTGGCAAGAGAGAGAAGACACTCACTTTCACAGCTCCGGACATTCCCGGGAATGAGAGTCTGGCTCTACATACACCGTCAAGCTATCCACAGTCTCTCTCGGTTCCCACCTGGTCCCCATGCCACGTGTGTCCCTTCGTCCATCTCTTCTTCCAGGGACCGGTGTTGCCCCCCCACTGAAAAATGCTGCCCTATGCAATTGCCTTGTGGTAAATACGCCCCTGCACAAGGGTAAATCACAATTACTAACCCTGGAAGGCTGAGGAAAGATAATGGGGAGACTTACGCAAATCAGAGCGTGCAAAATCTGCTGCAGCTCTGCATAGAAACCAATCAGCTTCCAGGTTTTATTGTCAAAGCTTAATTGAACAAGCTGAAGTTAGAAGCTTATTGGCTACCATGCAACAGCTGCACCAGATTCCGAGTGCTCCAGTTTTAGTAAATCTCCCCCCTATGAGCGCAGGGCAACACAAGCCCATTACCTGAGTATGGTGCACTGCACTTACTGTATTGATGCAGATGACATGAGCACCACTCATCCAGGTTATCCAGGACTGCCCACCACAGAGAGGATAGAGGGTAGAAAAGGACCCAGCACATCATGTTATTGCCTAGAAGATGAGCTGTGTAAAAAATATATATATATAAAAGAACATAAAATACCACTGGGAAGGGGACCTCAGTGGGGAGAGGGGACCTTTAGAGGGGAAGCATGAAGTCTTGAGTTGGAATTTAAGTCCATAATTTGTTTCAGTTTTGCTCTGCCCCTCTACACAGATGTGTTGTAGATAGGTTTATTAGGTGCACCTTGGATTGGACATCTACCTGGATGCACAGTAACAAGGTATGACGCTTTTAAGAGGTACCTGAAGTCTTTTGGAGCAGAATGTTTTAGGAAGAGTTTACAGGGCCAATATGCAGGTGCTTCACTAAATCATTTAGGTGCTTAACTCCTTGGCACAGACGGTGTGCAAATATGCGGTCTCTTGGCAGCTGGGCTTTGACACAGAGAGAGTGCATATTTGCGTACCCAATGTATACAAACGTGCCGAAAGTGCGTGCCTTGTGGGCTCCTGGCACATTTACTAGTGCGTAATGGGAAGATCTGTATTGCTGCTACTGATCGGGAGCTTTCTGATCCTGTGACCGTTGTGACAGCCTGTCAAGGATCCGGATGTGACCAGAGACGTGTGGACTGACAGGGAATAGCAGACTGCAGGAATGATGAAATAATATAATTTATTAAGAGCTACACCAATATACAGAAACGCACCTTGCAACCAAAACCAAACCTTCAACTAATAAGTAGATGCTCAGGAACACAGGCATAGACAGAGCTGGAGAAGTAGAATGGTCAGGCAGGCCGGGTCAGGATCAACTGGGCGGATAAGGTACAAAAGGAGCAGGCAGGAGAATGGTCAGGAATAGCCGGGGTCGGTGCAGGTGTAGTTCTATCAGAGTCAGAGTCAAGCAGGGGGATCAGGCAGGTAGACAACAGGATGCAGATACAGGGGCTCATGGGAAAGCACCAAGGCATTGTTTGCAGGCCTGGTACTGCTTAAATACACCTCCTGCAATCAGCCTCAGGTGATGGCTTGATTGCAGGAGTGAGATCCTGGATGCTGAAAAGCACCCGCTGGTGAGAACTGATACTGCAGCCCACACAGCAGGTGAGCCCCAGCACCACCAGCGGTGAGTACTTTCCTGACACAGCCAATCATAGCGGTCACATGACCCTACACCCCTTCCCGCCTCCCTCCATCACAATCCACCACAATAGACCTGCAAGATCTGGTACAATTCTGAATAGAAACCAATCAGCTTCCAGGTTTTGTTGTCAAAGCTTAATTAAACAACTGAAGCTAGAAGTTGGTTGTCTACCATGCACAGCTGCACCAGATTCTGAATGCACCAGTTTTAGTAAATCCCCCCTTAAATGTCAACACTTCAAGCCTAAACTTGTGTTGCTTTGGATGGAATGGGGAAGGCTTAGAGCCCCGTCAGCTTTTTATTGTTGTGTCCCTACTGGGGAGATTTTTCCTCAATTACTATCAAGGCAGGAAATCTCTTTAATGGGCAAACAAAAATATTTTTTTTTTTGTTGTAGGGTGCAGAAGGGTTAGAACTTCTGATAATCTTTATATTGCTGCCTGTGCCTTCCTGTCCTCACAGCCTTCCCCCATCCTCCTCCCACCACTTCTTGTCTTGGTGTCACAAAATGTCCCCAGTGCAGTCACAGACAGGAATAAAATCCTGATTTAATTTTAACTCTCTGGACTCTATTTAAAGCTTAAACTGGAACTGGAATTAGACTTTAAAAATTGTTACAGTTTCCCAACAGCACTCGGGTTTAACTCAACCTCCTTATTCTTGATATGACGTTTTTAAGTTCATGTATTACAAATAAATACTGCATGGCAATAAAGCCAGCTCTTACTAGAAACAAAGGGGTTGTTTTACCAAAGGCAAATTTACTATGCAAGGGAAGTTGTACTTTGCAAGGAGTTTCTCCCTGAAATTTAGTGAATGAGATGAAGCTATGTTGTCTTTCATCATCCAATCATGTGCATGCAATAAAAGCTGTTTTTAAAAATTGTGCTTGCACACATGGACTCACAAAGTTATTTAACCACTTGCCTACCGGGCATT